ATACTACCAGAATTAGAGTGTGGCAGGGCCGGCAAGATAGCTCAGCAGACTAAGTGCCTGCTTAGGCAAGCACAGGGACTGGCATTCAATCCCTAGCTCCACATGTCGCACGGGGCCCACCTCCAGGCAAGCGAGATCGGGAGAGGCAGCACATGCCTGTAATCCCAGCACTGGGGAAGCTAAAAACAGGAGGATCACTGCTAGTCCAAGCTACACGTGTAGTAAGACCCTATATTAAATACCAAATAAAGTAAGGCAAGGTCACTAGATTTTTTAAAAAATAGCTTTAAAAACCAACTGCCATGAACATAAAGCTTTTAAAAATTTTATCTTCTTGAGCCGTGTCAAACCTCAGGAGCTTCAATGAGCTACATGAGTGGGGAAAAAGCCCACCCATCCCCACCACCATGACGGGAGCCACAGTGAGCCTCGGGAACCTCAGTCCAGAGGAACCCTGGTGCCTGGCCCACACTCCCACACTGCAGGATGGCCAGCTAACACAGGAAGCACCAGGGCCAGGGCAACTGGCTCACCCAGAGGAAGCCAGGGTAAACCCACACTACCAAGGGCAAGCATTTTGGACACAAACTCCTAATTTGTGATGGGGTCTGTTATGTAACTATAGAGTTTACTTTGATCATCTGAAGTTACAAAATCAAAAGTGACCACAGTTCGTCAGTTTCTAAATTGTGTTTATTGCTAATTTTACTACTGTAGTTCATATGTCATATCTGTTATAATTAGTTGGTCTCTCTAGTGTGACGATATCGGGAAGCTCTGGGGTAATCTCACCACAACCCTACAGCAAAGGACTAGGGACTGAGCCAAAGAGAAACGAACATCCCAGTGTCAATTAATTGGGAAAGCAGGATTGTTGGACAGACACTAACCAAGAGTCTCCTATAGACAGAAAATATCCCTGAAGTACACAGTATTCCTGAAGAGGCCTTGCTACAACTGATATAACTACCTACTACCAACATTCACAAGGATCATCACAGAAAACAAAACAAAACAAAAAATCATGAAATAGAAATGTCAAAATGAAGGAGCAAAATGAAATCTCAGACCTCCAGCCAACCTAGGACAAATCAAGGAGACATAGAAGAACTTGGAAGTCGTATACCTGAACTTTCTGAAATGATAGCAACTGAAATAAATAACTCCATCAGGCTATAGAAGAAATCAAACCAGAAATAATCTCTTAAGACAAGGAAGAAAGGAAAGGAAAGGAAGGAAAGAAAGACAATGATGAAAGAAATACTCAGCATATCTAAGGAACACATAGACAAAAAAAAAGAGGAACACACAAAAATAATAGAAACCTTGAATGAACAATATAGCTAAGAATTCACATGCATGAGACAGATTCAAATGGATAGCAAATTAAGAATTCCACTGAAAGCTGGAAAAATTCAATTGAATGAAACTGAAAATAGACTTTCAGACCTTGAAGACGGCATCACAGCTATCAATTGAGAAAGCAGAGCTCTCTTAAAAATAAGAAGGAGGGGCTGCAGACCTTAGCAAGCACAAGGTCCAAAGTTTGATCCCCAGTACTGCATACTGTGCTGACCCCAGAACCAGGTCTGGTGGCACACGCCTGTAGTCCCAGCGCTAGGGAGGCTGAGACAGGAGGATCACTACAAGTCTGAACTTCATAACAAGACCCTATACCAAAAACATAAAAATAAAATAAAGAAACCAGGAAATAATTCAACAGCTGCAAGATCATGTGAAGAAAAACAATATAAGACTTTAAAGGTGTCAACAAAAATCAGGAGTCAACACGGATGATATAAAAAGACTATTTGAAAGAGTAACAGCAGAAAATTTCCCAAGCATGGGAGAAGAAACTAGCATACAGTAAGTGGGGCAACATAGAACTCCAGTTAGCCATAACCAAAATAAATCTATAAGACATATAATAATCAAGATTCTAGAAATGCAGCGCAAGAACAGAATATTGAAAGCTATTAGAGAAAAGAAGCAGATCACTTACAAAGGAAAGCCCGTCAGAATCAAGGCAGATTTCTCAACACAAACCATCACATGAAAAAGAGTTTGGAGCCGGGCTCATTGGCACACGCCTGTAATCCTGACACTCGGAAGGCTGTGGCAGGAGGATCATTGTGAGTTTGAGACCATCCTGGGCTACAAAGTGAACTCAAGGCCAGCCTGAATGGCACAGAAGGACCTTGTCTCAGAAAGACAAAAAATAAATTTTAAAAATATAAAAAAGAGCTTGGAATGGTCCAAAGTATTTCTGGTCCTGCCTGAAAGAAAACAATTTCTAACCCAGATTGATGTACCCTGAAATTATCTTTCAAAATTAATGGAGAAATAAGATACTTTCATGAGAAAGAACTGAAACCACCAAACCAACCCTATAAAACATACTGAAAGATAGTCTAGACAGACATAAAAATGACCACAACTCCACAAACAGCACTAGAAAGGAACCACCAAGCAGGACAAGCAACTACACAGAAGCGCGGTGTGGCCAGTTCAGCCCACTTCTTGTCCCTCCCTCAGAGCCAACCAAAACTGCCTCTTGGGAAAAGAAGTCAATAACTATCCTCAACCGGAGAACAAGCGCTCCATGGGCCAGACCGCGGCTCACAGTGCTGAAGAGGCCAAGGGCCGCCACCCCTCTGCAGGCCCAGGAGGACACCGCTGTCCCCACCCCGCACCTGTACTTGATGTCAAACACTGTGGCGTCTTCATCCTCGTCATCCTCCTCATTTAGCGGGGCCATCTCCACGCGCTCGGCCGGAGTGGTGATGATGTCGTACTTGCGGGTCTTCTTCAGCCTCTTCCCCGACCTGAAGGGGACAAGCATGATGGTGAGCAAGCAGCAACACCAGCAGGTTCCCTCCTCCCATCATGCTCACTGCAGCAACCCGTGTGCCGCCTCGGACCTCGGGAGTCAGACATAGAGCCTGCCAATCCGTGCAGTCCTCACTCACAGCAGGTAGTGCCAACAACTCAGAAATCAAGATTTATAATGTCTCAATGTAGTATTTTGATTTTGCTTTTCCTGGGTGCTCTGGGGATTGAACCTGGGACCTCATTCGTGCCAGACAAGTGCTATGCCACTGAGCTACACTCGCAGCTGAATGAGACTTTTTTTTTTTTTTTAAGAGAAGGTCTACAGGGTGATCAGGGTGTCACTACTAGATTGGACTTGTAGTGATCCACCTGTTTACAGCCTCCCTAGGGTTGGGATTACAGGCGCAGGCCACCCTGCCCAGTCTCAGCGCACCCAAGGGGCGGGGCCAGCACACCATGTGGATCGAACCCCTGACCCCTGCACCTGCTTGCAGGAGCTTTAATCCACTGAGCTATTTGGCCAGCCCTTAAATGCAACATTTTTCAAAGGCAAAATGCACACAAAAAATCCATGGTGATCAAAGGGCTCAGCAAGGACAGGATCTAGCAGGTGGGGGCAGCTGAGTCAGGGCCTGGCAGCATCCTACTTGTGGGGTCTCAGGAGATCAATGAATCCCTGAGAGCCTCACTTTCTCCTTGGAGTTGTTTGAGTACAAAGGGAGAGAACCCAGCCACGAAACCTGATGGTCTCAATCCTCATTGCCAAAGTTTCTCCTTCCCATGGTCTTCACAAATCTTACTTTTCTTGTTGCTGAGAGAAAACGCCCAACACCCAAAGGCAGAGGAGGAAAGGTTTATGTCAGCTCAGTGTGTGGATGTTCCAGTCCATAGCCAGCTGGTTCCAAAGCAGGGTGGCCTGATGGAGGGGCATCACAGGGGAGGAATGCTCCAAGGCAGAGCGGGTGGGAAGGCCACAAGCAGCCGAAGCAGCAAGAAACAGCAGCAAGCCTGCCTCTCCCTTTTCTTGCACCCAGGCAATCAGCCCCAGAGTGGGCCTTTGCTTATCCACTCCCTTGATCCCCACATCACACCCTTCATCCATTGCCACGCCCCAATCCCACCACCTTCAAGCTCCCCCATCTATAAGCAGACATCTAGATGCACACAAGAACATCACAGTAAGCACACAGGCACGGGTGTGAGTTGACGGGATCCCAAAAGTACGGTGAAGAGTACAGCAAGGGCCAGGAGTGGTGCTCAGAGTCTAAGTCGGGACACAGCCAGCGCCTCACCAGGCACCCAGAACATCCCAAACACACTTGGCCCCACATTCACTCCACCTCTGTCCCCAGGGAAAACAGCCTTCACATTCTTCCCTAAATGGCTTAGTCTCTCAGCAACTCTATCCCCAATTCTGGATGGGAGAAATTTCAACTCAGAAAGGCTCTTTGTGTCACAGCAATCCACAACAAAGCCACAAGAAAAGCCAACTATTCTAAAACTCCCAGTCTACACAGACCCATGTTACCACGCCTTTCCTAGGACAACAGCCCTAAGTCACCACCTGGGTGGCTACCTGGAGGAAGGGAGCACCTGGTTGTGCGGAGGGGCAGGGTTCCCTCCTCTGTCACCAGCACCAGGTACCTGAGCTAAAGAAGCAGCTGGGATGTTTTAGAAAAGGGCACATCCTTAAACCCATGGACTTGAGAGAGCCCCTGGGACCGTCAAGGTGACCGTGCCCAGGGTCAGGCTGAGGGTCACGGCTGTGTGTAACCCTTCTGCAGGTATCTTGGCAATAATCCTGAATCCCCAAGATGACACCTGAAGAATGCCAGTGAACACTGCGAACCTGAGAGGCCCCCTGGGCACCCAGAGAGGAAGCTGCACGCTGCCTTGAGTGTGCTTGATAGTGTTTCTAGATGGGGCTAAATCTGAAGGGATAGAGTCAGCACATAGCTCACTGTCCCCAGAGCAGTGGCCTCGTTAAATCCGGAGAAGGCTTCACAGAACAACAGATCCCTCAAGGGACAGCTCCTACCGGCGACTGCAGGTTTTACCCAGCCTGAGTCTCTAGTTTGCAGGGCACAGACCTTGAACCCTTCAGCCCCACAGTGCTCACAGCATCACAAGCTGCCCTCCAACAATATGTCTCTCTCCCTCCCTGTCTCGTGCACATGCACACAATCGGTTCTGCTCCTCATAAGTACAAAGGGCCATTCACAAGAGCCCTTGTGCATGCTTCAAATGCCAGTTTTGACACAACGAGCTGGAGAAATTACAACTCAGACAACTGGCTGTAAAAGACAACACTCCTTAACAAAAAAAAAAAAAAAAAAAGCCATTTATTCTGTATTTCTGCTATTCTACTGGATCCACACTGCCCAGGGACCTTCAGGTCCCCCTGCCCACCTGACCCAGGCCAGAGAACTGAGCCACCGTGGTACAGACAGGGAACACGAGAGATGGGAGACACACGGCACAACAGCCTGCCAAGTCCCACTCATGCCTCTGAAGATGGCCACTACCATCTTCAAGGTCTGCTGAATGTGAATATGCTCTTTTCTCCTCTAAAACCCAAGTCAGAATTAATCTCCATTTGAAAGATGGAGAGGGTGGAAATAACCCGGGGTTTAAAGGTTTCAGAAGAGCTCAACATTCACCATAACTGACACTGGCGTCTTCATAAGAAGAGCAAGGGACCAGACCCCTACACACCCTGTCTCTTGCCTCCTAGGAACTCCACCAGCAAAGCCACCACCAGGACTGTGGCTGGAGCGGCGAGCCAAGAGTCTCTTTTCCTTATAACTTACCCAGTCTTTGTATTACTAGCAACAGAAAACAGACTAACCCTGTGGTTTTTTTGGTTTTTTTTGTTTTGTTTTTTTTTTTTAGGAGAATCTCACTTGCTGAGTTGCCACGCTGGACTCAAAACTCATAGCCCTCCTACCTTAGCTTCCTGGAATGCTGGGATTATAGGAGTGTGTCACACAACCAGCAGCGCTGCATCTTTCTGCATCATATTAGGCCACAGGGGCTGGAGGGGAGCCCAGTGCTTGAGTGTGTCCAGCGTGTCTAAGGCCCTGGGTTGGAACCACAGCACCACACACGCAAAGGGTCTTAATCACAGTCCTTAGGAGTTGCCTACTTGCTGGGCGGTGGCACAGCAATTCCAAGTGGGTTCGTGTACACAACTTCGAAATAACCCCACAGGCACCACCAGATCTTACAGCTGAGGAAACTGAGGCTCGGTGAGGTCACCTTGAAAAACCCCGCATTTGCAAAGAGGCGGTGCGCCAGCTCACGGCTTCCCTTGCTCCAGCATGGCTGCAGCGCACCTTGCCACCACATCATTAACACTGAAAAGCCCTGGCCCTCCCTACACTTCCCAGACGGTGTGACTTTAGACACACTCTCCTCCCTCGGGTGACTCTCCCGTGGGACACAGCCAGCCAGCACCCTCCACCTCCTCTGGGTAGCTTTTAGCCTCCAGGCCTGGCCGTACCTCTGCTCTATAGGAGCAGACCCAGGAATGAAGCCTGGGCCAATCAGCGCACTGCAACCTCCAGCCAGCCAATGGCAGGTGAGAGAAGAGGAAAGCGGGACCAATCAGAAGACAGAAAATAAGACCTGAAAGGGAGCCGGCTGAGGAGGGAGAAGGACAGAGAACAAGGGACTAAATCAGCTATGAAGCTGGACCTCCTGCAAGACTGCAAAGCTACCTTCTCTTTCACAGAGTGACTCCAGACTGGGTTTTCTGTCACACACAACCTAAAGAATCTAACTGCCACGGGGCCTCTAAGGAAGGCACAGCAGGTCATGAAACTCCACTATAAGAATAAACACCATCTCGTGCTTGCTTCACGTTTTCACAGCAAGCCTTCTACGTGCAGTATAATTTTCCCATTCCTCAACTGCTTCCCTTGCGCTCCACACCACCACAGGATGAGACAACTCAGCAACAGCAGCAAGAAAGGTCTTGCTCGAGGCCCCCTGTGAGCAGGTTTCCAGGGGACACACACTGTGTGTGTGTGACACCTCACAGGACTGCCTACAAGCGCGACTTAAGGAAGAGGCCAAGACCACACTGCTGCGGAGCTGCTGCAGTCACTCAGCCAGCAGACAGCGCCCACATCCAGCCCAGGGGCCCGGGAAGTAGACGCACGCGGTACCCGGTTCCAGGAGGGGCAGAGTCAGAGGCGGTCAGAGCCCGGGGTGAGGTCAGAGGACCTCGCAGCCCGTGGAAACTGCCAGGCACCGCACTGCCTGCTGGAGACAAGGGAGACTGGAGAGATAGGACAGGGAAGAGATGCCCTGGCCAATCCTCAGTGACACAGCCCGGGGCCTCCTTCTGAGGTCTCCTTATCCGGATGGCAGAAACAAAGAAACAGTAAGCAGTCATCAAGCGTGGGGTGCTCTGAGCTGTAACTGCGGACTTTGGGCTTTTTATCTGGAGACAGGGCCTTACTCAGTGCTCAAGCTTGGATCCTACCGTCTCAGCCTCCTTCAGGACTCAGATTAAAGGTGTATGCCCCCACGCCAGGCTAGCACCTGCTAGTTTAAGTACATATCCACAGGACGTCTTCAGAAGATGGGGAAGTCCTAGAAAGGACCAGTCAATTGAAGAGACCTTGCCCTCAATCTCAAACATACACTTCTAAAATGAGAGAGGAGAGGTTCAGAATTCCTCTACTCTGCAGTGTAATCCCCCAGCCCGAGGGCTTGTTTACTCAAAGCTCTTTGAACAGCTGCTCTGGAGCCTTTAGACACACAAACCCGCCCAGGGAGTGCGCCCCAACCCAGTCGGGGACAGGCCCATTTCCCTCACACACCCCCATAAGAGAAACATAGCTTGCCCAGGCGCTCACGGGATGCCTGGGTGTGGAGCTTGGCAGTCAGCCACACAGGCAGGGAGGCCTGAGGCTGAGGTTCCCATCTCAGCCCTCACAAGCATGCAAGCGCTGCCTACCCCACCTGTCTACCCCACATGGCCCTA